TTCCTGCTCACCCCTCCCCCATGAACCCTTGATAATTTATAAATTACTATTTTGTCATGTCTTACACTGCCTGTCACACCTTCACCCACTTTTCTGTTGTCCGTCCCCCAGGGAAGAGGTTATATGTAGATCCTTATAATTGGTTCCCCCTTTCTACCCCATCTTCTCTCCACTCTACTCCCATTAAAATTTTTATTAATCCTTTTACTGGGAGCTCTTACAGATATAACATAGTTCAAGCATACCAAGCAGTATTGTACAATTGCTACCACAACCATGAAACATTTTCTTTCTTATACTTTCTTTCTTCTCCCCTTGGTCCCCTCCTACCCCCAAGCATTAATTACGTTTTAAAGTTTTCTTCTGATCTGCAGTTTCCTTTTGGTATGTTTTAAAACCTTAAACATTCCCAATGAACTGAACTGGCTTAAGATACGCACCGCACCCCCACCCCCCCATCCCCACTCCATAAACTTTTTGAGCTTCCCCTCATACTATTTTAACTTTTATTTTAAGCTTAACTTACTCCAGAGCCATTACGTTTTTGCTTCTTTAGTTTCTTCTGGGAGAGCTTTTTCTTCTGTGCAGCCTCTTCTTCTGGCTTAGGAACAATATGTTCCTTTTCAGTAGGAGTCCTGTCACTGTGGCAGAGGGAGCTCATACATGGACTGATCTGACTACTCGCTCTGTAAGTCCGGCGGCTCATCTTGGGGCCTTTGTTCACCTGGATGTACTCAATGACCAGAGAATACACAGCATCTAAACACTAAGTTCAGTATTCCTCTCTGCATTTTTAAGCGTGTGCAGCAAAATGCAGCACTTTTTGGGCCACTGGCCCTGGGCTCAACTACACTGTTTGGCCGGGCACACCTCCCAACTCTGCCACTGTCATGTCAGAAGGGCACACCCTGCTTCTGCAAAGTGATGTCTCCAAATACTTGGTGACTTTCCAGATATGCATCCCCTGGATGGCCTGGGCAGTTTCACGGGTGTTCTTAAAATGGACCCAGATTCAACTATCTTGCTTTGAATGGTTTTGGTGGGGTCAAGTGAGCAGCAAACCATCTTGGCAGACCACCTAAGGCCACTATGGAAGCGCTCCCTTCATACTATTTTAGATGACCAATGTAGACTAGGCTTTAGGAATTGGGGTGTGCATATGCTAAGGCTATTTCACACCCCTAAAGATTTCCTGAAAACTCGTTACCCACTTGTGTGTTTTCCCTTTTATGGTTCTTTGTAATTAAATGTGTACAATATTCCCATTGTGATTCTCCATTGTGTGGTTAGAATAAACAGGGACTTACCATACCTATTCATTTACCATACCACGGACTGCCGAAAGAACCAACAAATCTGCACTTAGAAGTACAACCAGAATGCTTCTTAGAAGCAAGAATGGTGACAGTCTCCTGTGATTTGGACATGTTGTCAGGAGAGACCAAGTCCTTGGATCGGGGTATCATGCTTAGTGAAACAGAGGGGAACTGGACAAGAGGAAGGCCCTCAAGGAGACGGACGGACATCAACAATGGGCTCAAACCTAAGAGCCACTGTGAGGATGGCGCAGGACCAGGCAAGTGTTTCATTCTGTTGCACACATAGGGTCACTGTGGGTTGAAACTGATTGGATGGCATCTAACCAACCACCACCATACTTGGGTTCTATTAACTTAAGGAGAAGTCAAAAAGTTATGTGAAAAGTAACTTTTCAGTGTGGGTAAAACCATTACAAAGCAATCAAAACTTTCAGTGTTTGAAAACTATTAACTTAAACCATAGATCAATAAAATACAAAGACTGACTATAGTGGAAACTGTATTTTAATTATCTTTTCATTTTCAACAATGATTACTTGAACTTAATAATAAAAAAAGTCTCTATTAACTAATAACTAATGGTTATTGAAAAGCCAAACCTTCCCAGCCCACTTCATATTCTCCTTCAACCATTTCAGGGCAGAGCAATGTTCCAAACTGTAAACCTGTTCTTTATTGGCGTTGACGGTCATGTGCTTAATGAACAGCTTTGGATCTGATATCCGAGCAGCCATAATCAATCTGTCCACTGCAGCTTGATAATCATCTTTGCTCTGAGGTTTGCTTTTGTTATATCTACAAGATAAAGCACAGTCAGAAATTCAAAACAAAGACTATGTAAGTTCTTCCAAAGGTGAGTCATTTACATTTACATTTACTGACACAAAGCTGTGGCAATCTGTTCACCAGATTCTTCTAACAGTGGCTTGCAAACTTTTTTTGATCATAACCCAGAGTGAGAAATGTGCTTCATACTGTGACCCAGTATACAGCTTCATATATAACAACTCAAAGTTTCACAAAATAAGACTTACCCTTACATTGATGTCATCTACTGTGTACTCTTTGATTAAGAAAAAAAAAACGCCCCTTAAATTGACTTCACCACACCGATGGGCCACGACTGCATTTTGAAAAACACTGCTCTAGAAAACAGGTAAGGGATGACCTATATCTTTGTATTTTCAACTCTGGTACTAGAAAAGTTACTCATTACACTGAAAAGAAAAAAGAATATTTAATTTGAATGGAAAAAAGGATTTATTAAATTTGGAATCATTCACGTTTCACCTTCATTTTGGCATGTAGTTTTTGGTAACAGATGTGGTATTGCTATATGCCTTTATGAAATTTTAAGGGTTATTTTTGGTCATGATTTTTTAAAAGCATTTCCCTAACTGCTAGAATTTACATTAGCAACTTTTCTACCAGTTCCATCTGTCATCAGTCATCAAGCTGTATACAATCATGACTGTCGGCAGTTTTTCTTCTGGAGTGGGGAGTATGGACAGCAGAGAGCCAGCTGGCTTACACGATCAGGTGACTACTTTGTTGTCACTGCTGCCTGCTCTCAGTACTTACAGGGCTTAACCCTGCTGTGGTCCACGGAGTGGTGGCAGTGTGAACTGGCACTTGAAACAGGAACTAGTATTCAGAAACAGTAAACAGGAGCTTCCTACCCTGTTTCCCTGAAAATAAAAGTGTCTTATATTAATTTTTGCTCCCAAAGATGCACTAGGTCTTATTTTCAGGGGATGTCATATTTTTCCATGGAGAAGAATACGGTACACATTTATTGTTTATTGTTTTATTAAAAGAGACCTCGCACTTCCTGTCTTGCTCTGGCTGCGCTGCGGCCAACAGTGAGCTGTCCGGTGACGCCCGCCACTACAGTCCAGAGTTACGGTAGCTTCGGGGGGCCTTATTTTCAGGGGGATGGCTTATATTTCAACGATGGGCAAAACTGTAAGTAGGTCTTATTTTCGAGAAAACATGGTAGTAAGTTCTAGATTAGAAAGAGGGACCCTGGTGGTCCAGTAGATTGGACAGATGCCACCTAGGAGCACTTTCTGAAAGTAACAAAACTCTAAGAGGCTAAGTAATAAGGCAGAACTCAGCAGGATGAAAAAAATAACACAAAAACAGTAATGTTTCAGATAAAACCGAGTTATCTAGGCATGCCCAAGTTCTGGATTCAACATAAGCTAGAAAGCCATGAGGAGATGAAGCTCTGTGAGGGTGCTGGGGCACCTGGACACCTCACCCCACGCTAGTTCACGGTGGTAAAGAAGGAAACTCTCTGGAGAGAACATAGAAGAAAACGGGCTAATTTTATAAGACAGAACTAAAATACGACTAGGAGACAACATGAGAAATGAGAGAGGGAGTTGGAGTTTGGTTCTAAAGCTCTTGGCTGTTTATGAGAATGATATAATTTTTTATTTTGTTAAGTATGACAACAAAGGGAAATCAGAGAATCCAGTTGAAAGTAGGAAAGAGGGGAAAAAAGAGGCAGCGTAAAAACATGGTAAAAAAATCACTAAATAAGATGATGCAATAAATCCAAATATATAAATAACCACAATAATAACCTAGCTTAGATAAGTAGACACCAAGTGAAGAGTAAAACCCACCATTTATAAGCCCCTTTGTAAAAGATGAGAGCACAAAATAATGGGACCTCTAACCTGTCAAACTAGGTCAGTGTGTTCTACCTCCCTCTCTGCCACCTTTCCTGCTCTTATAATACACAGTAACAGCCAAAGAAAAGGAAGTCCCAGAAACCATGAGAGGAAAAAGAAAGGGACATCTGACCCATGGGAGGTGCTGAATACAGTCCTGAGGAGTGGTGTGCTTCCGAGGAAGAAGGCTGCACGGTGATATGCCAGGAAAACAACCACCTACATAAACTAGATTTAGCTATGTTAGTACAAGACAGACAACAACAACAACTTTTAAGCTGAAAAGCATGAATTGGGATAAAAAAGAATATAATTTAAGAATAAAAAGGATCATCTACCAGAATGATAAAAACAATGAAGTACAACATATTTAATATCTTGGTCTTAAGATGCACATGCAAAAATGAATATAAACAGAAACATAAAAAGTCACAATCAATGGGGAAATTTTAAGTATTTTTCTTAAAAATTACTAGTATAAGCAGGCAGAAAATAAATAAAAGATAGTCCATGAACTCCCCCAATATATTGGGGGCAAGGAGAGACACTGGAAAACAATGGATGAGCTACAAAACAAATAATTGAAATGATAAAATTCAGAACTCAACAAGAATGAATTGTTTGTAGTTTAATTTTTTTTCCAGGCAAAGCTGTAAGATAAAAATATCTTTGGTTATAAGAATGTTAAAAAAGAGGAGCTGATACCCAAGGCTCAAATAGAAAGTAAATGTTTAGAAAATGATGGCAACATATGTACAAATATGCTCGATACAGTTGATGTATGGATGTTAGCCCCCAATACAATGATCTTTTAATTAAAAAAAAGAAAAAAAGAAAAAGAATATTATACCCTCAGCTTGTTCGTTTGGTTTCTATACATGGTTTGTAATAACTTATGCAAGGTAGTAGCTATTAATATAAGGAAAAAAGCCAGGGTGAATTTACATTTGCTCTAGAAATAGTTAACCAAAATAACAACAATCCATTCACTGTTCTTTTTCCCCAAGCTAGCATACCCTGTCCCAGAGGCAAAGGGGTTAGTAAAATAAAATCGACAGTGTCTCCCTAGTTATGGTAAGTTATGGGTCGTCTTGTGTGAGCAGCTGAGAATAAATTGGTGGAAGAGTTTGATCACCAGACTTGTAAGGAGTCCATTTCCTTCTCCGACACATTCTTGTGGCCTGGCCTGGCTAGGCATTCTATCACCTGCCCAGGCTCATCCCGCTGGCAAGGGATGGAGGAGGGGCGACAACCTGCAGTTCCTGTCTCAAAGCCCTTGCTGGCACTGCTTTCTACCATACTGGGAGCCAATGACCACAGTTCAAACATTCGTAAATGGCGACAACTTATGTATTATTTTTCTTATACAGGATAAATATATGAACAAAAAACCTCAACTTTTTTGATGGGAAAGTATCTGAACACGAGGGGACAGTTAAATGATTGCAGCAACCTGTTCAGAATATGACACAGGAACCCAAATAACTTCATGAACCCTGTGAAGCACCATGCACAACTCTGAACTAAGGAACACACACGTTTACTACCACTGCAACTACACGAAAACACCTAGATGCAAAAATGCCCAGAAGGAAACACACCCAAGCAATACAATTCTGCAATGCTACATCAGAACAGGTGTGCTTCAGGTGGTTTGCTGTTGTTGTTAGGCTCATCTCCCAAGCGCTGCACCACCATTGAGCAGACAGCCGGGACTGGAAGAGAAGGTTCCACTTTTTCTTCCTGGCGGTTCTGAAACATGCCCACAGGTTATGTGGTTGTTTTCCATCACGAGGTAGAAACTAATGAGGTTGAACTGATTAGAGGGCAGTGAGTTTCTGGGTAAGTACAGGCTGTCCTAAATGACTCTGGTAAGAAATAAAATGGAAGTGACTGTGTGCAACCTTGGACACTTATGTTGCTGGATGACAATTTTGCATGGGCCCCTTCATCCCCTACAAACCCCTAGAGCAGAGACAGTGACTATTCTTGCTCTGAATTACTTTTTTAAGGGTGTTTATACAGTTCGTAATCTTGAAAGACAAAGATCATTGTGTCCTCTGGAGCCAAGGGCAGGTTTGCGCACAGCCTTAGTTCAGAGTGTGTCCCTCCAGGACAAAGAGCAAGCATGCTTACCGCCCATTTTGAAAGACTCGGACTCCCAGAAGCTGAGGATCCCTTTCCTATAGAACAACCCCCAGTGTGTGCAGGCGTCCATGGCCCATCTGTGTTGCCCCAGTGGGACTTGAGAGCAAAAACCCGAAGCAATTATGTGGATGACTGTGTTAGACAGGGTTCTCTAGAGAGATAAAACCAAATTCCTGATAATTAAATATATTTATTTATAAAGATAATTAGATATATAACAAGAAATGGACTGTTAAATTATATACAGATAAATATAACAAATGAACAGTTAAATTATAAGCACTACAAATGGCTCAGGGTTGTGAGAGACTAGCAGTCCTTCTCCTCTCTCTGCTGCCAGATCCCCCTCTATTTATAGAGTGAGGCTATCTCAGCACAGCAGCCAATCACAAGGCAGATCACCAACTGTCAACTGACCACCAGTCCCAACTGCCAGTCCCCAGCTCCAGAGATGCCTTAAAGGGACCTCAACTTACAGAGACACAGTCCACAGGCTAGGCGTCCAACAGGTAGTATAAGCCTATAAATTGAGGCAAAGAACGAGCAAGGTAGCCGCACACTGGTCCAATGATCAAAGAGCAAGAGACAAGAAAGATGAGGCTCACCGAGCCATTATCTCTCCGCCCTTCAGTTAATCCTACTTGTATTTATCAGCCAGGCTGGCATAATAAACTATATCAATGACCATGCTGCTCGCTGTGCTCTGAGTCTTGTCTTACACACTGGCGTCCAGGAAACTGTGACACTAACTTGTGACTTACTCAGAGGGCACACTCGCAGAACCTTTTGTTCTTGACCTAGGCCCACAAAAGCACTGTGGCTTCCCTTTGTTTGTTCTCTCCTGGATCTCTCACTCTGAGCAAAGTTGGCTGTCATGTCGTGAGGAGAGTCAAGCAGCCATGTAGTGGAGCAGAGGCTTCCTGCCTGCAGCCATGGACCTGGGCCATCTTGGACACAGATGTCATCCCAGTCATGCCATCAGGTGACCACAGCCCCTGATAATAATACCCCGACTGCAAGTCCATGCAGTCCCAGAGTTATGGACCAGGCCTAAGTATATCTTTAGGTGAAGTTTTAGCAAAATCAGAATCGGCATTTGTTTACCCTTCTCTTATGGGAAGGAAAGGGCACCCAGTGATGCAGTGGTTAAATGTGCTCGACTACTAACAAAGGTCAGTTGTTTGAACTCAACAGCCGCTCCTTGGGAGAAAGCTGCGGCAGTCTGCCTCCAGAGAGATGTGCAGGCATGGAAACCCTGCGGGGCAGTGCTACACTGAGAGTCCGAATCAACTCAAAAGCTGGAAAGTTATAAGTGGGTTTACTCTAAAGGAAAGGCTTGAAACGTCTTCAGTGATTTAAAAGCTGCAGATCATGTGAAGGTGATTGTGATGAAAAATTTGTTGAGAGGAGGCTTTGGTCCAGTTTTATTGTTTTAAAGTGAGGGCAAATTTACAAAACTTTAAAGGGCAAGGATGAGCTGTCTGAAGCGGAGTTGTCCGGATGTTGGACATTTGTAACCTGGGACTGTTGTACTTGAGAAACCCTGAGCCACAACTATCCAGCTAAGGTGCTTCCCACATCCTGACCAACAGAAATAAATACTTGTTTAAGTGCTGGGATAATTATTACATAGCAATAGATGAGTAGGATAATATTCAATCTGAGGACCTGGTTTTTAACACCAATTAAAAAAACCTAAAAAAACAAACTCAGTGGCCATCAAGTCAATTCCAACGCCAGTGAAGCAACATTCTTTCCCAACTTTAAAACAAGAGCTGCAGGAGATTCTTGTATATAGCTGCCAACAAATTAGAGAGGGCTTTTACAAAATTATTAGCACCTAACATCATAATGGTCATGCATTTGTGACATTTAAAAACATAGACTCCAGGCAAAGACTTTATTTTTAATGGCATTCTTTACTGGAACTACAGTAATAATGTACTACATAATTTTCCTTTTAGCCCTGGTTCTTAATTCTTTTGGGTTGAGCAAAAAGACAAATACTCTTTTTAGGTAACAATCTCAAAGTGAGAATAAGTAACACCTCAAGAAGAACTACCTTTGAATGTTATTTGTTATTAATTGCTTTTAAGACCCAAACAGGCTAGATCTATTTTCAATTTAAGTCTTAACAAAATTTGTGTGTACACACACACACACACACACACACACACACACACACACACACACACACACACACACACACTTCCATCCTATGACAGGTTGGGGGAATCACAATTTTAGAATGCTGTTAGTTTTATCAACTAACCTTTTCAAAACGATCTGCAGTATCTGTGTAGAAGTTCCAGGACTCTGAATATTACCAGCATTAGATACCAGGAAAATTTCAATAGCTAAGAGCATTTCAATCTCAGATAAATAAGAAGGAATCAGTAGAAGTTTTCGGTATAAATGTCCCTCCAACGGTGAGTAGCAGCCCAAAGAAAGAGCACCTGAAAATGCAGTAATAGAACAGATTTTACTAAAACCTCAATTGGTAAAAACCTAAGCTTCCAAAGTACTCACAGGTGATAAAGAGTAATTCTTCACATTAGAAGCTGGCTTATTACTCAAATGATAGTAATGTGCTAATCCTATTCTATTTACAATTACTATTTTCATATGCTTATGAAACATTAAATATGAAGTGAGAAATTTAAAAAAATTATCTGAACCACACTTTTGAACCTGTCTTAACTGTTCATTTTTAAAATTTTATATTCAGCACAATACATATGTAAACAGCTAGTATATCGATTTGGGTATTAATGGGATCTTATCTGATAGCAATTACATGTAATACATTTATAATTATTACCTATCTTGATTATGACTCGAGAGACAAAATGGGAATTATCATACTCAAGACCCAAAAGCAAACTCACTGCCGTGGAGTCAGTGGACTCAGAGACCCTATAGGACAGGGTAGAACTGCCTCTGTGGGTTTGTGAGACTGTAACTTTTTATGGGAGTAGAAAGCCTCTTCTTTCTCCTGTGGAGTGGCTAATGGTTTTGAACCGCTGAATTTGTGGTTATCAGTCCAATGTATAGCCACTATGCCATGAACAGTTATTAGTTTATTTGAGTACACTTATAGTACCATTATAGTCTGTAAAATAAATATCTCCTGTGTGCAGAAATATTTTCTATCTAGTGCTACCAAAAGACAGCCATACTTTGAGATGTCTGCCCACGTGGGAACACTAGGTATCAAATAAATAACATAACATGCATCCTGTAGGTGCTTGATGTATTGTAGCTCTAATCCTTAACTCTTGTTCTCGAAATGTCACTTTTGTTCGAGAGGAGATTTCATGCTAAAACTGTTTATTTGAAGTTGATACATTAAAAAAAATTCCAATGAAAACTCTTAGGACATCCTAATTGTATTTAGACAATCTTAGGTTGTTACATTTTATTGAAACAAATTTAAATCTTTATAAAAAGTTAGTTTAAAATGTTAAGTCAAATTTCTCTTTGTAATTAGGTATAATTAGATTCCCATGCTATCAATGAAGGGCTTTGGATAGGCACCCCATCTATGCCTGCATGGGAACTCTGGCCTTATGCCTCTACATCTTAGATTTGTAATCAGAGGTTATGCAATCACAGGAAGCTGCCACTCAGTGACTCTTCTGACTCTTGGTAGGGCAAATCCACATGCATTCCTGGTTTATTTCTCCAATCAAAAGAGGCAAACAGATAATAAACCGATGAGAAATGTACTAAGATTACTTTCTGCACTAAAGTCAAACAAGACAAACAATTATTTTTTAAAGGGAGACATACTAGTAGCACTTGACCTCTGCGGTCTCAGACAGAAAGCAGTGTTTAGAATTAGGGAGAACGAAGCATGAGCACCAGGAAGACAACCTTACTGTCCTGATAGCTTCTTTCTGATCAGTGTGGGAACCAAAGCCGTCAAGACAGTGAACAGATGGCTCCAGAATGGACAAAAAATTAGCAAATCACCGGTCTGTCAAGGGACTTGTACCTGGAGCAAATAAAGAACTCTTGCAACTAACTCATCATCAACAATAAAGGAGTCCAACTGAAAAAGAGGCAAAGAAAAGGAGTTGGAGAGACATTTCTCCAAAAAGGGTCCATAAATGGCCAACAAGCCCATGAAAACACACTCAATGTCACACTCACCAGATGGCAAAACACAAACAAACAAAACAGGCAGTAACAAGTGAGATGTGAAGAAACTGGAACTCCTATGGTGGGAATATAAAAGGGACAGTAGTTTCGGAAACCATCCAGGAGTTCCTAAAAAAATGCAAAACGTACAATTACTGTATGGCCCACTAGGTCTACTTCTAGATATGCCCAAGAGAAATGAAAAGTAAAAGTCCATGCAAAAATGTGTGTGTGAATACTTGCAACAGCACTATTCACAATAGTCCAGAATGCTTTATCAACTGATGAATGGCTGCATGGGCTACATTCATACAATACAGTGTTACTCAGCTATAAAACAGAAAGAAGAGAGACAATGATACAGGCTCTAACATCAAGGAACCTTGAAAACTATTTTAAATGAAAGATGACAATCATGAACAATGTCATACTGCACAAATCTATTTATGTGAAACACCCATCACATGCACAATCATACTGGCAGAAGGCAGATCTATTAGTGGTGAGCTGCGCCGGAGGCAGGGAAGAGGGACGTAGGGGGCACAGGGAATGATAAATGTGTACAGGGACCCTTTCAGGAGGCATGAAAGTGTTCTACAATTACCACTTTCAATATAGTGAAAACCATTGCACTGTATACTCTGAATGGACTAATTTATGATATATATAATAATCTCAACAAAGCTGTGAAAAGGTGTGTGTGTGGGTGTAGGGGGGAGGTACTGACATCACAGCCTTAATAGAATCTTGATGAAAAATCAGCTGTAAGGCCAGAATCAAGTACTACTTGATGTGATTATAAGGTAAAGAAAGGCTTTTCTTGCAAGAGCTAAGCTATGTCTGAAAATAAATCCAAATGGAGCTGCTATTTGAAATGTCAACTCTCTCCAAGGAAACAAGATGTTTTGGACACTGACCAGTACCTATAAATTACTCATTTGGTTTTATAATTCAGATGTGTCTGAAAATAACAAAAGCCCCCAAAACAAAGAGCCAACTTCCTTTACCCTTTCACTCTACTTGTAGCACCCTGAGAAGTTTCACTGCACGGGGGAAGGGGGAGGAGTGGCTGAATCAAAAGAAAAGTGCTATTGTGTTGTAGATAGGCATTGATGGCCTAAGCACAGTGCTAAGCTTAAATATCCAAAGAGAAATTACTGTTAGTGCTGGAGGGATGTGGGGAGTGACAGCAATGGGGTATAAGGGTTATCTGGGGCTGTAATGTTCTCAAATGGATAGCGGTGATGGTTACACAACTCAATAAATAAATTAAAACCACTGAACTATGCACTTTAAATTATGAATCATTTCACTAAAGCTGTTCATAAAAATTAAAACTCATTTCAGTTTAGCTGCTTTAGTGTAGGTCTTTCATTACCCAAAACAAAAAGAATCATAGAATCTAATGAAATGTTTCCAAATTTATAACTTGTTTGGCATTTTCCCCAAATTGCAAAATTAGTATTTTAAAATGAAATAATTCCATAAAAATGTATTTTAACTGGCTCATCTCCTCCCCGAGATCCCTCTGCAAGGG